GGGTCGGAGTTTTCGGCGGTAGCCCCGCTTCCGGTTTTATTTCTTCTTCGTCTCTCAACACATAACCACAAACTCACAAGCTCCCCCTGCCGTACACCCGGCGAACTTTCGCTCCCCGGCAACAGGGATGGACACCACTTTAACATACAGACATAGAACAGTCTGTTACACACGTCCCCCCCTCAACAAGAAACGTCCCCGTTTCACCTGAAAAGCACCTGAAATGTAACCCTTCCAAAGAGAGGTAACAAAATAACAAAACAAACAAAAAAAATTCAACCTTACCACACAGTTAGGTACACCATGTAATTACAAACATGAAAGGAACAGAGCAGAACAAAAGCCTTAAACAGACCGCTCATGTCTCTCAAGTAACCCCTCCCACCAAGTGGAACTTATGTCAACAAAAAAACAAAAAAAAAAAAACAAACAAAAACTAGAACTTCAAAACCTAAGAAAGTCCTGCAAATAGGATGGAGGCCTCACCAATCGCCCCCTGCGAGACCGCCCAACCTGGGACTCAGGCAAGTCCCCACACAGTCCATTGTCCACCTCACCAGTCTGAGATTGATCTCCGTTCTGGGGAAGGGAAGCCTCGACCCCAAGAGGAGAATTCACAGCAGCTGGAGCCGGAACAGCCTGTGCAGGCAATGGCAGAGTGTACGGTTTCAGTCTGTCATGATGAACCACTTGGACTCGCTCCATTGGATCGAGGGCGTTGACGAGGCGATACGTGAGCGCAGACTCCCCACCAGAAACCAACACTTGCACGACCCGATATGGACCCTTCCAGTGCGGCGCCAGCTTCATACGGCTCTCCGTGGGGTTACTGATCCACACCAGCGCACCTACCACATAGGGGCGATGACAGCTACCCTGGTCATAGTACAGTTTCTGTCTTTCCTGAGCTTCAGCCGAGTTAAGCCTGGCAGCGCTGAATGCTGACCCCAGTCGCTCTGCAATGACGGAGGCATAATCCATCAAAGATCCAGTACCCCAGGAGTCGGGCGCATTAGCGGGCACTAGCACATCCGCTGGAACACGGGCCTCACGTCCATGCATGAGAAAAAATGGAGTAAACTGGGTGGTGGCATGCTTAGAGGTGTTGTATGCGAAAGCAACATGCTTCACATACGTGTCCCACTCACCGCCATGAGAAAGCAACAGCTTGGCCAGCTGATCGATCAAAGTCCGGTTGTGGCGCTCCACCATGCCATCCGATTTGGGATTATACGCAGTGGTACGGGTTTTCTTAATCCCCAGCAGCTGGCAGAGGATCTGGATCACTTCCGCCTCGAACTGACGGCCCTGATCACTATGCAGGATTTCGGGAACCCCATGCACCAATACATAATCCTCAAACAGGCAGCGTGCCACTGAAGGCGCTGTCTGGTTAGGCAACGCATATAGGGAAACAAACTTAGTAAAGTAGTCCTCTACCACTAAAATATACCTGTTCCCCCGGGATGTTATGGGCAGCTCCAAGATATCTGCGGCTACCCGCTGCAAAGGCCGGCATACTTGGGCCTCTCCCATAGGGGCCTTGGACCCTGGGACCGGCCTCCTGCGAGTCTGACAGGCCAAACATTGCTCACACCACTGCCTTATGTCCCTCAACATGAAGGGCCAGTAGCAGGACTTTCTGGCCTTTTCCCACACACGTTCTGCTGAGAAATGTGCAGCAGCTGGCCCCCCATGCAACTGTTGAAGGAGTTCCGGCACCAGGGATGCAGGGACAACAGTCTGAATCTGCTTCTGTCCGGTGTTGTCAGTGAACGCTGTGCGGCAGAGCAGCCCGTCAACCACAGACAGACGGTGAAACTCAGTCCACAGTTTCCTCAAGCTGGCAGAGGAATCCCGGGGCAGTTTACGAGGCCGTCGCACCCTGCCTTGCTCTAGCCATGTCAGAACAGTACTGATGTCAGAGTCCTCACGCTGCAGTGCCTGCAACTCAGCTCCCCCATCACCGAGGGTATAGACCAGAACTGACTCCGCTTCCACATTCCCAGCCGTAGAGTGGTCAGACGTCTCCACAGAAGCCACAGTAACAGGTCCAGTTGCAGGAACATTTGCCTGGACAGGGTCAGGGGACACAGGCCGGCGGGACAGAGCATCAGCATTCTGATGGCGTGCGCCATCCCGGTGCACCATGACCCAATCAAATGGATCCAGCTCCAGCACCCACCGGCTCCTACGTCCAGTTGGATCATTATCAATAGCCATGCGCCGCAGGCCCAGCAGAGGGCGATGGTCCGTGATGATGGAGAATGCAGACAACCCCACATAGTGTTTGAACTCACGCACAGCCCACACCACGGCCCATAACTCTCTATCGAAGGTGGACCATCTCCTTTGTGTGTGGGTGAGAGCCTGGCTGGCATAGGCTACCACCTTCTCACAGCCATCTTCATCCTGCGCCAGGACTGCTCCAACAGAGTCTTTAGATGCGTCGGTGTACACCTTGAAAGGAAGTGCAAAGTTGGGCAGCGTCACCACCGGAGAAGAGGTGAGAACTTGCTTGAGGTAGCTGAATGCAGCCTCACACTCAGCCGACCACTCAAAGGGGACGTTCTTTCCAGCCAGCCGATTCAAGGGTGCCGCATGTTGGGAGAAATTACGCACAAATCTCCGATAATAGGAGCATAGGCCCACGAAGGCCCTGACCTCCGACGGGGTGCGGGGAGTTGGCCACGTCCTCACCTTGTCTGTGTTCCGTGGGTCTGGTCGGAGACCATCTCTGGAGACTAGGTGGCCCAGGAAAACGACATGGTCCCTGGCAAAGCAGCATTTTTGCGGATTCAACCTCAGACCCGCCTTCTGGATCCTGGATAGGACTTTATCCAAATGAAGGAGATGATCAGTGAATGTACGGCTATAAATCAGTATATCATCCAAATACACCATACAAATGTGCCATGGCAGGCCCCTGAGAATGAGCTCCATCATGCGTTGGAAGGTGGCTGGCGAATTAGACAGTCCCATAGGCATGGCCCGCCACTGATACAGACCCCGTCCGGTCGTGAAAGCCGTCTTCTCACGGTCCTCCTCAGCCACTTCCACCTGCCAGTAGCCATTTGAAAAGTCAAGTGTGCTGAACCAGACTGAACCAGCTAAAGCGTCCAGGCTATCATCCACTCGTGGGAGGGGGTGTGAGTCTTTGATCGTCACTGCATTTAGACGACGATAGTCAATACAGAACCTCCACTGCCCCCCTTTCTTTCTCACCAGCACCACTGGAGACGCCCAGGGACTACAACTCTCCTCCACCACGCCGTCTGCCAGCAGTTCAGCCACTTGACGTTCAATCTCCGTCCGCTTCTCAGGCGATGCACGATAAGCACGCTGCTTCACAGGGGGTGAGTCCCCCGTTCGGATGCGGTGTTTGATCAGCGTGCACTTGCCTGTGTTCCGGCCATCCAAATTGAACACCTCAGTGAACCCCTGAAGCAGGTCAGCCAGCTTGGCCCTTTGCTCAGCCGTAACAGGAGACTCCTCCAGGGAGACAGGGCTCACTGCATCTGGCGACACAGCTGGATGGTCGTCCGCGACATGAGGTGGCCCGCAGATATCTTCCTCTTTGACGGGGTAGAACTCCCCCAGGTGTAGCCCCCGCTTGAGTTCAACTGCGTCCCCTGTGGAATTGAGAATGCGGGCTGAGGTCACACCGTTTCTCACACTGTTCACTGTACGAGCGACCACCAGTCCTGTCGTATCTGGAATGTTAGGCTCCAGGTAGCCCACAAAATCAGCAGCAGGCCAACCAGTCCCAGCAGACGTGAGAATATTCACCGGGACCAGAGCCTCACTCAATGGGGGAATGGTCAGAACATCAGCAACGGACACATTACAACAGCTAGGGACTAACTCACCACCCTGAAGCAGCGGCACAGAAATGTCCCATAGTTGTAACACACCTCGCCCCAAGTCCAACAATGCACAGTTCGGAGCCAGGAAATCCAGTCCGAGCAGCACACTCTGGGTGGATTGCCGTAATACGTGGAAGGTGTGCTGCCAGTAGGTTGGGCCCAGCCTGAAGGTGATCTCACAGGTACCGAGTGTATCCAACATCTGTCCATTAATAGCCCGAGAATCGATATAGTTCTTTTTCATGGGCCTGTTTCGCAGAGCCGGGACTGACATACGGAAGTCCTCACTGATCAGGGAAACCGACGCCCCAGAATCCACTAACATTGGGACCTCGGTGCCTTCAACCACACCCCTGACGAAGGAAGTTGGGTGGTCAGTACAGTCCATAAGGGCTATTACATTGGAGAAGTCATGGTTTAAGGGGCCCCCTATAGGAGAGGCTGGCATTTGGGCCTCAATACCAGCTAATTGTCGTTTCCCTGACGGTCGTTAACCGTGTCCCGCTGTCGAGGCAGGAAGTGCACACCACGTCGTCTGGGCTCATCCTCCTGTCGGGCACGCCAGCTCGGGCTAGGACTCCTGCCTCCCGTCGGCCTAGGGGTGGAGGACATCCCACCGCTGCCACCAATGTAACCGAGCGTTTTGGGTCCGTATTACGTACTTTATAGGCAATAACGGGACAAGAGACGGGTCGGAGTTTTCGGCGGTAGCCCCGCTTCCGGTTTTATTTCTTCTTCTTCTCTCAACACATAACCACAAACTCACAAGCTCCCCCTGCCGTACACCCGGCGAACTTTCGCTCCCCGGCAACAGGGATGGACACCACTTTAACATACAGACATAGAACAGTCTGTTACAATATTAAAGAGAGCTCTCTGCTTTTTATTTTTACTTTAAGCTTTTTACTGTGTTTATAAGCTGCTGTTAAATGCAGACTAATGAACTCAGGAACTGGTTTCTAACCAGCGCCGCCCAGTACAATGACATTTCTAACTGTTAAGTTAACTAAACACGAACAACTACGAACAAATGAGCAACAAAATAAAACTCATAACCGACCAAAACCAGGAAGCCGCTAACCAACAGTTCATTGTTGGGCATCATGGTCACGTGACAATGCTCTTATTTTGAAAGGGACCGTCGGATCGACGTCTGCTAGTTTCCATCATCTTGATGTCGCCATTTTTCTCAGTTTTTTCCTGGACTTTTTGAGCTGTCGAACTTTGGGATCGAACTACAAATTAAAGCATAATGGGAGCGTGTTTGGCTCTGGGTTCCATCGGCAGCTGTGTGAGTACTGATTTTATTCCAAATGTTTTCTCACAACTCAATAATAAATGGGCTTATTTCCAGTTTTCTGTTGTTTTTCGGTCAGACCCCCCTGATTCGACGCAATTTCATGTGATACAACACCAGAGAAGTAAAAAAAAAAAACTAAAAATAGATCCACCGCATTTTATTATTTTTTTTTTACTAAACTATTTTTCTAATTAGTTTGTCAAATGTTTTGATTAAACCTTTTTTTTCCTGAGGTTTGTCATGTGATTTCCTTAAGTTAAAACTCCGTAGATTTCTAAAAATCTGAAACGTAATGTAATAAAGAGCAGGGTTCCTGATCTGTTTAGTTAAACTTTATTTATTGTCAACAGATGAATCCTGGTCTTTCAGAAAGTGCTGGTTAAAGAACTACGCAACATTTGAGCGATTGAAGCTATTTCCTTGTTTTGTCTGGCCCATGACGTCACTGTAGTTTTTATTTCTTTATTTGCTGGCTGCTTGTACCTGTCCCACCCTAATAACCACCGAATATATAAGAATCAAATAAATCACAATTAATCTTATATAATCATATCAGGAACTAATTCCAGAAATTATTTGAGTTTTTTAAAACAAGTAAACATACATTATATATTATATCCCCCAAAAATACTCATAACTGAACTTGCTCTTTTTTTTTTTCTTCGCCATTATGTAATACTGACAAAGCCACCAGTACTTGATTGATGAATAAATGACACATATAGTTTGGCTGTTCCTATATTTCCACCTAGTATTGGACCAGATTGTTGCTTTTCCTTTTTTATCTGTCTTCCTTCCTTCTTTCTCTCCTCCTTCCTCGCAGCCGAACAACATGAACTTTATTAAATAATTCAATTCAGTTAATTTCTATAGCACCAAATCACAACACATGTCATCTCAAGGCACTTTACAGTTCAACCAGATCATCCAGTTCAATTGATTCAAAGTTTTCTATCTAAGGAAAACCAGTTGATTGCATCGACTCATTGACTCAAAGGCAATCCCTCACACTGAGCATGCTTGTAGCGACAGTGGAGAGGAAAAAATAACCTTTTAACAATGCACTATCTGATAATTATCTGCTAAAGTGGAACCTTCTTTTGGGGGAGGAGAACTCTGTTAATGTAATCCTGAAGCTTATTAAAAGGTTTAGAGAGGACATGGTTGTGAAGAAATTCTGTTATGCATAACACAAATATAAAATATTTGTGAATACAAATATCTTGTATTAATAATGTAATTTAAGTAATATTGTCTCTAACACAAAAATACATTTCAGAGACATTTTTTAGGCTTAATTGTTTGAGTTACATATCGCGGCCGTAGCACGAAAACAAATGAAACATGAAACTTGTATGGTTTCAAAAATGGGTCAGCAAAACCACTTAAAAACATGACATTTTATTTTAAATTACATTTTGAATAAATTGGAAACTGCATCTAATTAGACTTATCTGATGCGTCATGTCAGAATCAGGATGATCACATTTGGATTTCCAAAAAAAGAGGACACTGAGCTCTGCCTTGACATAAGCTCAAACATACCTTCTGTTTAATAAACAACAACATTTAAATCCTCTTCTGCATCATAATAGAAATATTTTCAAGAACAAAATGAAATCACTCCATAGAACATTTCCTATTGTGCCTATAATAATATCTTTATCATGTGTCAATGGTTAAAAATCCAAATTAAGACAAACAATAATTTAAATGATGCCATTTCTATATCAGAAAAGCTGTGGATTTAAGGACATGATTTTTCTTCTCCCTGTAATTAATTTCTCTCTCCAAAATTTGACCTATTTAATGTAGGGCTAAAACAATTAATCGGATTACTCATGATTGATTATTAAAAAAATCGTCAACAAATATAGTAATCGATTAATCATTAAAGTATACAGACTCTAAAACATGCCTTCACTGGTGGAGAAACCCACTTAGAGCTGTATTAATATCAAAATTGTAAAAAAAAAAAAAAAAACATTTTGCATTTAAGAAAAAAAGATAATTTTTCATCTGTAATATGCTCTATCCAAAACTGGTGGAAAAGTTTTAGTTTCACCAGGTTTCATAAAAAATAGTTTTTAAGGAATCTTTGGCAATCTGATTATTAATTGCTTAATTGAAAAAAATTGTTAAAGTTCAAAAAATTTAATCAGGCAACTGCAATATAAACCATATAAATGTAGCATTTTCTTTGCTAGCAATAAAGGTTTTTTTAATTGAATCCTGATTATACTTTACTAATAACCACATTTTTAAATCGATACCTCTACTGCTGCTTCAAACAATGAAATCTTATAGTTTATTCATATCTTTAGGAAGTTGCTGCTGTATTTATTGTTCCTTTTCAGGGAAATCAAAGTGTATCGACGGCAAAGTGATGCGCTGGATGGAAGCACACAAACTACACACAAAAAAATAAATCATAAATGCATAAAAAAATAGCAGAATCTGTTCAGGTGTGGTAGAAATATAATAAAAGCTGCATCTGATTTTATTTGGATCATGCGGTAAATGATGACTTAGATCAATAAGGCTCAACAATGATCTTGCACACAACAGCCTATATTGATATTGTGAGACCAACTTTATTAGTTTTCCACACAGCTTTATGTTGAAAAGCAGTTTAGCCGTCTCTTTTACAGCAATTATAGCCTCGGGTCTTCTTGAGTATTATGCCGCCAGCTTGGCACAGATCAAGCCTTTGCAGAACTTTTAAAGCTCCATCAGGTTGGATAGAAAATGCCATGAAGATATTACTGCCCATACTGTAGCGTTTTAACATAGACATGCATGCATGAGTGATCAGCCAGCATTATAAACATGAGACTGGAGAGAGATGGTTGTGACGCGTTATAAAAGGTCTTAGTCCTTTTCTTAGTCTTATTCAACAAAAATTAGATCAATGGTCTTCATTTAAGCAGAATGTATCAGTCATTGCAAGGGAAAACAGAAATAGTCTTTGTAAATGTTTTTCCTGTTCTGGTCATTCAGCAGATTTCCTTCATTAGCTAACACTGAAGTTATAATCTGATAGAGTTTCACATGCAAAGATGTTACAGACAGTTTGGAACAAACAGGGATGTTGAAATAACCTTGAACCTAAAGGAGTCTGGCTCCCTGTTCAAAACATCTCCCTGTGGAAAAAAGCTTCCCAGCTGTCGGTAAGGTTGTCCTCAGGTCTGGCCTCGATGTGCAGGTTGAGCCAAAACTTCAATGCAATAAAGATAACAAAACAGGCTACACTCAGGTTTTACCCTGGAAGGCCAAAAGGAATAGAAATATTTGAAAAATATTTGTCCCTCCATAGACGTCGCTGCATATTCCATCTAAAAAGATGCCTTTAGTTTTTGAGATTGTTATTTTTTAGTTCTTTCCTTCTAACCAACTGTTGCTTACTACTCATTTAGTGCTAACTGAAAAAATAATTACTCTGATAAGCAGTTGAAAACTTTCTAATATCTTCTGATATTTAAAGCAATAAAAATATTTACGGTAAAATAAAACTTTAATTATCATGTTTTTAATTTTTAACAACAGTGTGAGGGATTTCATTTTTCTACATCGAATCTTGTGGGCGTGGCCAAAGGTCAGATATGGTCATTTGGCCGTGAAACAACAGGTAAGCTCCAGGCCATGGTTTCACTGAGAACGATCAAATTTGGTACACGTGTGTAACCCTTCAAAGCATACAAATATGTCTCTTGGAGCCGTGGTCCAAACTAGGGCTGCAACTAACGATTATTTTAAAAATCGATGAATCGGCCGATTATTTTTTCGATTAATCGATGAATCGGACAAAAAAAAAAAATTTATATTAACCTCTTTATTCCAAAATAAACATTTTAGACAGAACAAACAAGCACACAAGTACAGGTTGCTCATTAACTGTACTGGTGCAATATGAAAAATAAATGTTTGTGTAAAAACTACGCAAACTTACATGAGAAATGTAGCTGTACATCCACAAAATATAGGCTACTTTGGTTCATAAAGCGCAAAAAGAGACAGGCATTTTTGTTTTTTAAAGCCCCTAAGGGGTTCAACAATAGGTCCCCCCATTTCAAGAAATGAGTTTTTTTTAGACTAGAAGAGTTCTGCCTTTTAAGACAGGAAAGTATAGCAGTTAAAGTTGCTGCTTGAGAAAATACTGAACCATAGAGATAAAAATAGCCCTGTGATTCAAATTATAAATTGTATTTGGAATAAAAATGAGAGAACTAGGGGTGGTAAAAAAACACATCCTCCAAAGACAGATATTTACATGGGAATGTGGCAGATAATTAATTGACATATTACTGATCTTGATGGATTTTGTTCTGCTTTACTTCCATAAATTGCAGGATCTTCTTTTCTTTATCTTTGCCAGAAGATTTAAACTTTAAAAGCCTTGCCCTCATAATTTGCAAGTTAATTTATTTATAAAGAAAATATAAACGCTGCTTAAACAAATGTAAATGAAATTAAAAGTAAAATAAGTAGCCAACCTTATCCCTGTCTGTAACCTACTAACAAGGTAAGGAAAGCATCAGATGAGCTACCTGAGAAACTAACGTTACGTTTCCCCACTTTAAAACCAAACAAGCATGGTTACTCATCCTGCTGATCAGCTCTCTTCACTGCCATCGAAGGCTCCAAAGTGTTTTCTTTTCAGGTGCTGCGTCATAACAGTGGTGCTTCCGTGCCATGTTAATTTCTTTTGAAAAAAGTTGCATGTTATCACTTTTTTCACTTTACAAAGCGCAGGCTATTTTAATTATTGTGATCAATTTGCGCCGTCAATCCCGGCGCATGCGCGCTTCATTTGCAGTCTGGACGCTGAGGGTAAACATCCTCACTAAAATCCTGCGGCTCTGACTGCCGCGCTGAGAGGGATTCCTGTGGGAGAGGGAGAAAGGCGTTGGGAGGGTGGAGGCGCCCCACGGCAGGCAAAAGGCGCCAGTGACACCGTAAAAAGTCTCCAGATTTGTCGCTAGTCGCTTTTTTGAAAAATAGTCGCTGGAGGGGTCTGAAAAGTCGCTGAGTTGGCAACACTGCAACTGCGGCGCTGACTCGCTCCGCCATATTTTTTTTTCTTCCCCCGGATGACGGCGGCGGCGGATGACGCATTAATCGCGCGACACAACTAATCGATGATTAAATTCGTTGCCAACGCTTTTAAAAGTCGATTTTTATCGATTTTATCGATTCGTTGTTGCAGCCCTAGTCCAAACCTCACAGGGGATCGGCCATTTTGAATCAGATCCATCATTTGGTTGTTTTACCTTTAAGATATACCTGAACAAACTCTTCGTAGAGCTTTCAAGGTACAGACTTTAATCCACTCTGCATCGACCTCTGGCATATCTCTGCTAAGTTCCCCTGGAGCTTTTGAGTTACATGCTTTAAATTCACTATGCATGGACTTTAGACATGAGGAATTTACGGAAGAGGATTAGGGCCACTGGAAAAAAAAAGAAGTGATTTTTAAATTTTATTTCAGTTAATATGGAAAGAAAAGTCAGAATTCTGACTTTTTTCCTGAGAATTCTGACTTTAATCTCAAAATTCTGACTTTTTTCATTGTCAGAATTCAGTCAGAATTCTGAGATTAAAGTCAGAATTCTTAGAAAAAAGTCAGAATTATGACTTTTTTTCCCATTTTAAACTGAAATAAAATTAAAAAATTTGTTAACTTCTTTTTTTTCCACTGGCCCTTGTCCTCTTCTGTAGGATTTAAAATGTTTAAAAATAAATTTTCTACTTCAAAGTATGTGGTTGTGGCTGAGCGTCAAAATCTGACCTCCCACCATTGGACATCATGGTTTTATAGCCTCAATAAACACGGTCATAGGAGTAGGTTTTAAGTGTGTGGATCATCTTGGAACAGCCTTCACCACCAACAGATTTGAAGATATCAGTTTAGCCCCGCCCTCTTAGATGTTCCACGATTGATTGTTGGAAGCCCTTGCTTTTCTCTGTGCGCCCTATGGAATAGGAAATGGCTAAAACTGGTCTCACAAAGGTCAGATTTAGGCCACACTGGCGTAGGCATGGTGAAGGCGGGGCTTAGGTCCAGCAGTCTCGCTGAACTGCACGAGCCGTTCAACACCGCTTGCGTCTTTAACTAGTATTATATTTGCATCTTCAATTGTTTAATTCCTCCGACTAAAGACGGTGGGAGTTTAGAAAGAAGCTGACCTTTTGTCAAATAGGCTCTAATCATATGAAGTGGAGAGACTCACTGAGTTTTGTGAACAAGATATGTTTAAAACTTCCATTCAAATTCGGGCTGAAACGATCGGGAGTAACTAATTATTGTAATAATCTTCATACAATTTATCGTTAGAATAATCATAAACTGGAGCATACAGGTTATAAAACCTTCCATTTTATTTTGAAAGGACGACCAACTCAGGGCAATAAATAAAAGTGTAAAAAAATGATAAATCCCTTTTTTAAACATCGTCTATCATTGCTAAATTAACATATTCATTTTCATGGTCATGTTTAGTGTATGGTGTGGCCTATATTTAATTTGTTTTTGTTAAATAAATTTTTCATATACCTCTGACTACATTTAATTTAAATGTCTTGTGAAATAGGTGCAAATGATTGTTTTAGATTGGCCTTTGATTTAGCAAACCTTTAAACTGAAATGAATTGAATCAACATGTAATCGGACAATAGCGATGCACCGATCCAACACGCCAATGGGATATTGGCTCCGATATTGACTAATTGGTTGGATCGGATATTGGAATTATGAGGCCGATCCATCTTTCTGATCTAGTCGTTCCTTTTTATCACACACAAAGCATTACAGTCACACTGATCTCTTTACTTCTATTTCATTTCTGCAACGTCTGTCATCATCATTCATCTACTGTTGATAAATACAGTGTTCATTTGTTTACCATTTTAACAATGGTTATGTCCAGCCTGATGTCTTCACTCACATGGCAAAGTATATGCTGAGCTATCTCTATAGTTCTGCTGCTATAGGCTTAGACTGCTGGAGGACATAGGGACCCCTTTTTCATCATTCTGCTTCATTCTATCTCTATTCTCCCACTCTGCAGAATCTGTTAGTTCAATCTCTAACGTTCTGCTCTCTCTGCTTTTTCTCATAGTAGCTTCATCTGGTCTGTTCCTGTTTGGCTGTGACTCCATCCTGGAGAGAAATATCAACTGTACTGCTGCCATCAACACCTTTGTTTATAGATGTTGGAGCTTGGCCTGTTTTTCAGTGTAGTCCTGTTTCTCTGACTGTGACTGGCTATTTGCGCTCTCTTCATCCTCTGACATGGGAGCTGGCCCGGAGCTCGTCTGCCTGGCTGTGTGTTTCCTGGACGGGGCCGCCTGTGAAGCTGGTTGAGGGCTGCCTTTTGTATCTATGCTTCTTTTTCTATGTCTGCTTCTGTCTCCTTGAACCCCAGTCGGCCTCAGCAGATGGCCGCTCACACTGAGCCTGGTTCTGCTGGAGGTTTTTCCTGTTCAAAGGGAGTTTTTCCTCTCTACCTTCGCTACAAGCATGCTTAGTGTGAGGGATTGCCTTCAAGTCAATGAGTCGATGCAATCAACTGGTTTTCCTTAGATAGAAAACTTTGATTTATTTTGATAATTTTTTCAGGGAAAACAGATCAGATTTGGTGATGAAAAACCTTCGTCAGCAATAAATGTACTCTACCATAAATTAATCTTACCAAAAATATTATTATATTATCTAAATAATATGGATATGCAAACGCTGTATCTGCGGTATTTCTAAAGGGGCATGGTATCACTACTAAAAACCAGGGTTGCTTTCATGTTTTCACTATTATCCATTTTAGATTTCTTCATTGTTCATGCATTAAAAGTATAAAACCTCAGACAACCATAAAACACATCAGACTGGGTTATTTTAGCTTATTTATCTTGTATTTATTTGCACACTATTTTAAAGTATAAAATATTCCTGGTGATGTTCAGTTTTAATTTAAGGTGGAAGTTAAACCACCTTAATTTGCACTGAATTGAGTTTATTTAAGTTTCAGACATTTTACAAGGTATTCAAAACGTGCAATAAATGTTGTATTTTACAATTTTATTCTTAAAGTGTAAAAACTTGATAAGTTTTTCTTTTAAGAATGATCTAAAAACAAATTACTAGTTTGATTATTAAAAAAGCTGATAGCTACAGTTTTAATTCAGATGCTTCCATCTTCTACCAATTCATGTTTTAAGTCTCAGTATTTTGATAGTAGAGATAATATTGGCATTCGCCTGCAGTTCAGGGCTCATGCTGTAAGGAATTAAATAGAATAATGCCTTAAAGGTACACTATGCAACCGGTGTTGATTTTCCAGTGAGGCTCCCTCCAGAGGGCGAAGGTAAAAGTGCACTGTCGTAAATATGCACAGCTGTTCTCATGGTTTCTCCGTCAAGCCAGGCGCGGTTGTTTTGAGCTTAGTAGCGAATGACTAACGCTGCGTTCACACTGGACGTAGCTGGCGCGACAGAAGCAGCGAGTTTACATGCAAAGTCAATGGTTGACGCGCGTCAAGGCGCAGCAAAAGGTTCCGCGGCGCGTTTTGAGCACCAGGCGCAGCGCGTCTGAGCAGCTGAAGCAGTGCGTCGGGTGCGTTTAACGCAGGGAGAGAGACACAGCGCTGATGATCAGACGCTACGATCTCTCCTCTTAAACAGTTTATTGACGCCTAAATTAACTTAAAATGCAGAAATCTGTCGGCAGAATATGCAGTTTTGATTATTTAGATGAAAAACACCTACCAGCTGCCGCGGTGAACCGCTGCTGATGAAGGGATCCATACTGTCGGCGCCCCGCTGGTATGTGGGGGTCTGAGCGGCTCCGACAGAAAAAATATTGAAGGCATGATAATAATCTGAATGAACTGACTGCACTGATTACGTTTTCAGGTGTATTTTCTCACTTAAACACATCTTAAAACTACTTTATTCCCACTGATCACAGCAAATATAGCTGCAAGGCAGAGAAAGGATAGTGAAGCTCCGCCTAACGCGCGTCAGACACACTTTTGCACCGCGCAGCCAGAGCAGCAAAGCCACGCGTCAGAACTAACTGGTACAAGCAGAAAAAAGGAAGCAGCAGACGCGATTTTGCTGCGTGAACGTAGCATAACTGCACAAAGATTGCCACTGCGCTAGCAACGAGAATGCTTTTAACTGGGGGCGTGTAGCAGTTCTCGCCGTAAAGCAAGACTGACTCTCACGAGACTTCTGAGCCTGTGGGTGCGGGTCGGTGCTCCTGCAGTTGCAAGTGCAGTATTTCCCCCACAGACCACCAGGGCGGCCGAGAATACCTTTGTTCAACCTGAAATGACTCATTTAGTCATCCATAACGTTATGGAACACATTAATTAACTGAAAAATGTTGCATAGTGTCCCTTTAAGGGAAACAATGCTTATCTAAATGGATGTTTTAGCTCTTTAAAGTGTGTTTTCCTGACTGATAAAGGTTTGTCCTGTTTCTGATGGTATCAGACTCTCCTGATCATTATGAACTAGATTGTTGTGTTTACAGCTAAAGCGTGCCGTCATGCATGCTGCTGCTTAATAAAGTGGATGATCTCAGCCAAGGCATCAGCAGTTTTACATTTGAACCAGGCTGGACTTCCCCTGTGATCTGGTTCTGGATTTATGTTTTATTTTTTATCCTGCTAGTTTAAGGCGTCTGGAAATAACCTTTTGTTTTTGATGTTACATGTGGAAACCTAGACAGTGTTTGAAACACAGCCTGAGCAAGCCATGCATGACTGACTGCTCTGCCTCATGGATCCTCCTGATCATCTTTATAACCTCTTATCCCTCCTCCAGGCATCCTGTTTGTGCGGCTCAGCCTCCTGCTTGTTGTCATCATGTTGTCCCTCCACGTACAACTCCACCATCAGCAGGTTGGCTTTCTCCTTCCTGCTTCTGCTTGGAACGCTGGTGTCCATCATTATGATTCTTCCAGGCATGGAGGAAAATCTAAAGAAGGTATTCAGCTTCTTTTTCAGAATTCAAAGCATCAAATCTGACCTGGAAGTTTCACATAAAACGTGCTTCTTGGAAATCAGGGTCACCTATTCTTCCAAGTATTTAATGAGCATGCTGTGACAGATTCCAGGTTTCTGTGTGGGTGGCTCGCACATATCTGGCCACGTGAACTGTGACATCATTGTGGGCTACAAGTCTGTGTACCGTATGTGCTTCGCCATGGCGTGCTTCTTCTTCCTCTTCTCCATCATCATGATTCGAGTGCGCAGCAGCAAGGACCCCCGAGCTTCCATCCAAAATGGGTTTGTACAGCTCACCCGCTTCATTGAATGATGTCACACTGGCCTCTGGTGGTCATATGTTTTCACTGCACTTCATAGCTAGCATTTTGTCATATTACATCCCTAAACTTACATGGATTCTCTCTTCATAAATGAACAAAAAGAGTGATGTAAAATTTATTTTTAAGAGCGGAGAAACTTTTACCTGGATTTCTATTTGATTTGCTGGTAGAAATCAGAAAAAGATGGCAGCATTAGTTTCATCTCTTGAAAAACCTTCAGAGTAAGAGTAGATGATTTTTGAAATCATCTACAAAGTCAGTGATTAATTATTCTTTAACTGGAGTATAGAGACTCTGAAACTTTAGCTGAAAAAAAGAGCAACCTGCTTAGAGCAGTGATTAAACCATGGCGGC